GGTTCGAGCCTCAGCTCGGTCCCACGTTGTGTCCTTGGGAAAGGCACTTTACACGAACTGCCCAATTGGCTCGGTCCTATCGGAGACGGACGTTAAACTAGGAGGTCCCGCCCCTTAAATAACCTAAACCTATACCATTTTTTAATGTTAGTTGAGTATACGACATGATGTTGTTGGGTATTGTTATGGTGGACAATCACTTGATATGTAGATGCTGATGCTGCTGTAATTGCTGCTCCGGAAGAAGGATAATATATTTTGTACCCAGAAATATGATAAATAATAGATGATGATAATGGTGGTGATGATGATGATGGTGATAATGACGGTGGTGATGATGATGATAATGGTGGTGATGATGATGGTGATGATAATGATGATGATGGTGATAATGACGGTGATGATAATGGTGGTGATGATAATGATGGTGATGACGATGATGAATAAGCAGGTAGTGAATACCTCTGGTGAGGGCACTTTGAAAACACTGACTTCTCTGTTGACACCCACCCCTTGGCGCTCATATGACCAGCCATATGCAGTTGCGAGCGCCGTAAAACTAAAACTCTCTACTAATAAAATAATACTATAAAAATAAAATTTAAAAACGCTGACAAGAATAAGAAATGTGCTGCATTTCACACATTTCTCCATGCCATTGTCAACCTTTTGTTTCACATTTTCAAATAAAAATGTAATCCTACCCACGCTGTGCAGCGTTATTTCATCTTTGAGACTTGCTCACTTACTCGTCAAAACTAGTTTAGTTTAAATTAATTTCAAAACAATTTATGGAGTATAAAAGTGGTCAAGCATAGCGCAAACAGACCCGGACGGGCGAAAGTAATAACATTCGTGACTTTTGTCACAGACATTTTACATAAATTTTTCTTTGCTGAAATATATCGGATTTCTTTGTAGTTCTGTCTTCGTGGTTTTATGCACCCCGCATAATTGAGCAAAATTTGATTTTTTTGTTATAATTTCTGATTATTTTCCTTTATCATTCTTTGTTGAAATTAACAGAATCGCATAATTTCACATTTTTGGGCTCAGTTTGCATAATTTTCAGAATTTTTCTTGCATAAAATATATATTAAAACGACGGGGACAGGCAGTAGGTAGTTTTGACCATAATAAATCTGGAGAAGCCGTCGATCTTCATTCACATTCTACTTTTTACTCTGTTTACTTGCATGATCCCCTATAAAATTTCTTTTGAAGTTTTGAAATTGTGAATTTTCACTCAAATTGAAGTTTTCTTTTTAAAAGATGTTCCATGCATGGATGCAGGATCCTGAAGTCCATCAAACTGTTATGTTGCTTTTAAAAAAACTAAATGAGAAGCCGAAGAAGGGCGGTATAAAAAAAGTAACTGTTTTTGGGACTGCCAGAAGCACAGGAACTCAGATTTTAGTCCATACAAAAATAGATACCGTATATCAAATTGTTAGATTGGGTTTGTACAATTTATTAGGATGAAAAAAGAAAAGTCATGTTAAACTTGAAAAAAAAAAAATGATGCACCAACAAATTTGACCTCTGTGTCAATTTTCGGCCAACATCTATTATCTCTGTGGATTGTGAGAAGTGACTCACTTCGCCAGCACTCGACACATTTGGTCAGCCTCCACACAAAGAACACGACAAAAACACTGTAAAAGTGTCTACATAAACAGGGCAAACGTGTGGATTTTCTCTCAAATTTAGTCCATTTTTCTCCCAAATACTGTTGAAAAATAAAAAGGATTTTTTCCCTCTTTTGAAATCATATATTTTTTTTAGAGTACTTGAATTTTTTATCTTTCTTTTTTGCACGGGGGACAATTAGATCTAATACATTTTAATCGTTTGTTGAAGAAAACTTCTATAATTGCTGCTTTTGTCAGTTAAGCCTCTCCCCGGTGGTTTGCTTCTTCTTTCCTATCAAACATCTATCGTCCTTAGGCCTATCTCCTCCTTCTTCTTTTTTTATGTTTGTTACTCTCTTGTAACACCTCTAATCTTATGGCGCTCATATGACCTTATATGCAGTTGCGAGCGCCGTAAAACCTCTACTAAACCTAACTGACTTCCTCGGCTGACTGTGCGGCACTGGGTTGGCAAGGCGGACAGGCGGATTCCAATGTCCAACTGACGTAGGCCGACTTCAAAAACATGTAACTATTCATTCAGCGGTGACCTACCTATTGCCGATACTCAGACTTTAGGCGTTGTACGACATCTAGCCGCTAAAGCGGCTTTCACACATCAGAATAAAGTGGGCTCAGTAGATTCAAGTTAAAGGGACACAATTTGATAGCTTCCTATTCTTGCTTGAAATATTCGTGGATTATGTCCCGTTACAATACACACACACACACACACA